TCTCGGTGACATCCCTGATATGAGCCCCCGGTAAGCAGCACACCTCTCTAGAGGGTGTGTCAGGTCAGCAAATGGGTGCCTCCGTACCTCTCAGAAGAGGGTCGCCTATTACTATCACCCGTCGCCTTTCCTTAGTTGCACTGGTTGTTACACGGGGGGCAGATCAGGCTGCCTTACTCAGCTCCAGCGCTTCTCCTGGTGTGACAGGACTTTCTCTTCAGTCTGCAGAGCGGTGAAGCGGTTCGGCAAGGGCACCTCAGGCTTTGGGGGAAGTCTCCTCCTCCTGCTGGTCCTTTCCCTTGCAACCGTCCATTCTTCTGCCTTATTGGCCCCTCCTGCATGTCCCGGTGGGGGAGTTATTGGTTGTTTGGCTGCAGGTTTGCCGCTGACTGTGCTTGGAACCAGCTATCTAGCTCCTTCCCTGCCTCCCTGATGTTGCGCAGCCTTCTCACCACCTCCTGCAGCTCAGCCACCTGCTGCGGGAGGTCCTCCACCTGGGCACAGATTTTGCAGGCAGGTCTGCTGCCTGTCCCTGCCCCAGGAGAGAGGTCTAGGCGCTTCCTGCAGCCTGAGGTCTGCACTGCAGCCTCTCCCTTCAGCAGTTCAGTCTGCGTGGAGACACTGAATACACCATAATACCACACTACGATGTACAAACAGCTCATAAATTTTAAAGATTTATGAAGGGATACAGTTCTGGTAGCTACTCTGCTGCCCATAGGTAAGAGGAAAGTACTGGATGCTGTTAGAAACATTCAGATACAGCACAAACATACCTGAACTTGCTTTGATCTCCTAATCCAGAAAGAACAAGATCTTGACAACTGGATGTACACTGTTTTAAATAGTGCTAACGTGCTATTATGCAGGTATCCCTCCAAGCACCATTTCATGAACTGTAAAACATATTGTTTAAAAATTGTATTCTGTACAATAGCAGGAAGAAGTCCTGCTTATACCGTGTTTTTTCCTCAATATAGTATAAAAGAGCTTCTTCTGCCAAACATAGAAAAAAATTCTCTATTTTTGGGTGAAGATGAATCCAGGTTTAAGGATGCAATTAATGAGAATTTCCAATTTATGAGAGTTAGAGATCAACAGTTTCAAGATCTGGCTTTTCCTCCTATACGTAGCAGCATGTGCTTGAATGATAGCACGTGTTGAAACAGCTTCTAAAAAGGCACTGTCATGATCTGAAGAAACCAAGAGGAAAAAAAAGTCCTCTCTTAAAGGTAATTGCACCTTTAGCTTTCAGTCAACTGGGTGTTGCAATGTTTTTATGTTTCGAGTACTTCATGCTGTTTTCCTTTCAAATTAGTTACATGTTGTAATCAAGTCATCTCCCAGTCTTCCTTTATGAGCTAAAAGAGATTGGGCATTTCAGCCTTTCACCGAGAGAAGGGCATTTTCCCTAGCCATCGAATAAAGTTGGTGGCTCTTTTTAGAAGTCTGCAGACATTGAAACGCCAGACTCCAGAACCATATACACCATTTCAGTATTAACTCTCACCAAAACTTTCATAGAAGTAAAATATCTCCTTATGCTTGCTCCTGCTGATGCAACCACAGAAATGTTCTTCTTTTTGCTGTTGCTGCCTTTGGAGATACCTGGACACTACACGCCTCCTCAGTCCCTCTCTGTCACTTCAATCCTGCAGATACGGCCTAGATTTTTTGTTCTGAGATGTGAAATTGAAATTGATTGTACTAATGGGCATTTTAACTCACAGGTACGCTCACAAAGTCGTTAGGATTGCTCTGTATCAATAAATTTGTACGTCTTTTCAACAGTTGCTGATCTGCCCACAAAGTCTTATCAGAAAATGTTTTCTATATCTATGTCTAGCTTATTAATAAAAATACTAAAAAGATGCTACTGTTAATCTTCATTGTTACACTTGGTCTCATTAATCAGTCTGTGAACAGCGTCCAGTAATTTCTGTATTTTAATTACCAAATCATACACCAATATACAGAAATCTGTTTTATCCGCGGTCAGGATATCCTCTCAGGACATAAACCAAGAGTTGCAGAACACGGTAGATGTATTTCCCCCTTAGTATGTAAACAAACCTGAAGAGTCCAAGTGAAGTCATCTTCCTGTGAAGCCATGCATGCTGACAACGATGAGGGACAGGATGTTTGCAGGAGACACTGATCCTTCTGGTAATACTAAGAAACTTTTCAGGCGCCTGCTTAATTTGCCTGGCTCACAGGCTCAAGGCCAAATTAATTACTGGATTTCCACCAGGAAATGGGTTTTTTTTCTTCCTGTGACAGGCTTGAGGAAGCCAATGAGCTTTTCCTCCCGCTCTCCTCTCCTGTTGTAGGACCAAATATTGAAACTTACTGTCTCGTAAATTGTTTGGTACTAAGTTTTGTATGGTTCTAATTATCACTTAAGCAGCCAGAAAGTATTGCATTTGACACTGAAAGTATTGTGTTTGATACTGTCAAGAACAAAGATGTGAGCGAGAGTATCCCTCAGGCGCACGCAGTCTCAAATACCCTGCAGTCTCCTACATCAACGAGCAGTCAGACCTGAATCTGACATCACTCCTCCGTCAACAAAGAGCTGCGCCTTGCCCGAAAGAGGAAAACTTCGGTGCCGTTAGTAGCTTCTGCTGATGTCAACCCTGTCAGGACAGCCGCAGCAGCGAGACAGGGCAGTTCCC